ATAAATATATCAAAAATGGAAAAGGTTAACACTTAAGAAAATTATCTTCACTAGAAATAAATATTAACCACAGGACAAGACACCCTTGCTAAACTGGGTTCCTCTTTTTTATCTGCAGTGTCTGGTAACTGATACTTCCACTGACCTGTGTGTTGGCTGGTTTCATGCCTCAGCAATTTGAGAAACTGAAAAATCTTCTTCCCCAATCAAAGGACAAAGTTTCCATCTGACCGTTACTCAGAGTACAATTTACTTTTTCAGGAAACACAAAAGTTGAACTGCCTGATCCTTTCCCTCTGCTTCTGCCCCAACACAGGAGGATGCACTAAGTGGACCAGGACACACAATGCCCACCTGCCCTGAGCAATGGCAGTGCTGCAGGGGAGGCCTCTCCCATGGCCCAGAGGGGGAGCAGGTGATATTTGTTTCTTATCTGCCCTGCCCGCTAAAATGAAAGATCTATGAGATGAAGGGCTCTGTTCGATTTTTTAGTTATTCGTTGCCTAGGAGATTGTGATACTGTTAGTTGTGAGCTACTGTGTGCAAACAATTAAGCTATTGTTCGTTCCAAAAGATGATAATTTTCTAGTTGATTTGGATTGAATGAAGAACTGCTCAAGCAGGGATTGAAAGCAGACGCGATTCCACCTCTAACCGCCAGGGGACACCAGTGCACCTCAGGTCTGGTAGTGACAGAGGGATTGGGAGAAGAGACTCACACCTTGACTAGACTCTTGAGGAACAGTGGTTTTGCTGCTACTCCGTGTTGAATTCTTTGTTTAGTGGAGGGTGAAACTGGTGATTATAAAGTGAAAGTATGTCAGAGTAGAACTTAAATGAAACAGAAGAGGAGAGGGTTGGGAGTGAGGCAGAAGGGAGGACAAGGTAGGAAGTGGCATTATGCTCTCACAACTGTGGATACCATGGGCAGGCCTTGTGCAGTGGGTGAAGCCGCCACATGCAGCGCCAGCATCCACATGGGCACCGGTGGAGTCCTGCTGCTGCACTTCCAAACGAGCTCCCTGTTAATGCCCTGGGAAAGCACCCTGGCACCCATGTAGGAGACCTGAAAGAAGTTCCATGTCCCAGCTCTGCCAGGCACAGCCTCAGCAGGTGCAGCCATTGAGGAGTGAACCAGCAGATGGACGAGAACTCTCTCTGTGTCACTAATGTTGTGGAGCACACTGATGAAAACACAGCGAGACCTTTGAAGTCAAATTAGGAGTCTTTATTAGCCAGCTGGCCACTGCCCTGTCACAGAGCAAGTCCAGAGAACACAGCCCCGAGTAGCAGTGCTGGGGGTTTAAAGGCAGAAACTACATTTGGTGGCCTTGACCATTATCAAGCAAGCAGACATACAGAAGCCAGAAATATGCCGGTTACAGCTGGAGGAGCAGCCTGATGTCTATAACTTGTTTCCCTCAGAGGAACAGTCCCTGCTCTGAAACCACCAAGATAACCTACAACCACTCGGGCAGGCTACGTCCCATGGGGAAACCTTAAACTTAAAGACACCCTGTCACACTGTGTGTGTGTGTGCATGTGTGTGTAAAGCGCAGGGTTTCAAAAAGCAAATAAATCTTTTTTAAAAAAGTGTGTATATAAAAAAAAAACAAAAACTGTATGTTTGAAATTGGTATCCTTTATAAAATTTTCTAATTACCAGTATTTAAAATATTTTTCCTTGTAATATCTATAAAGGTTTCTCTTTTCTCTGTGAATCTCAAATGATGCTCTAGATTAGAACACTCAGAAAGAATATTGCCCTGCTTAAAACAGTAGGGACATGGTCATGTCTGTGCTGCTGCTTCCAAGGAGGAGGAAGGAGGGAGCCTCAGAGGAGTCACCCTGGCCCCTTCCACCCGACCCTGCAGGACCTTCAAGCCTGGCTGTTCTGAGAATCACTCTCAGCAGATGGGGCCCAGGAGGAGCAGCTGGGGCAGCCAGCCTCACACTTCTGCTTTCCTGGGGGGGTTTTGTTAGGGCTTGGGACACTGTGGTACCAGCACTACCACTATAATAATAGCTTTGACAGTAGTAAGTGGCAGCATCGTCACACTGCACTCTGCTGATGGTAAGAGTGAACTGTGTCCCAGATCCACTGCCGCTGAACCGTGATGGGACCCCAGATGCCAGATTGGATGCACCATAGATCAGGAGCTTGGGAGGCTGCCCTGGTTTCCGCTAGTACCAGGCTAAGCTACTACCAATGCTCTGACTGTCCTGGCAGCAGGAAGTAGCTCTAAAGACAGATCACCATCCCTCTACCTCTCCTGGACTTTTGGGACTAATGTAATCTGATACAACTCTTGCTTTATAAAAAACAAAAGGGGAGAAAATTAGCTATATGGCAAAATGACGCAGTCTATGGCACAATCTACACCCTGACATCATCCTAGGCTGTAGCCTCCCCCCTACCCCATTACTGGAAGCAAGGTGGTCACATGGTCCAACCACCGGTGTCAGCCACACCCCCATCCTAATGGGAATTCTTGCTCCTACTTCCCTAACTGACCCCTGGCAAAGTTTAAAAGGACCTGTTCCTGACGCATCTCTTTCTCTCCATCTCCTGATCTCTGTCTCTGTCTGTCTCGCTCTCTGTCTCTTCACTCCCTTTTCCTTCTTCACTCTACCCTCTCATCTGTGGGGTTTCCCCCAATAAACTCTCTCCCATCTGCAGACAGAGTTCTGAGTCAAGGACGCAAGAGGAAACAATGAGTGAAACTTTCAAGATGTCACCATAGGTCTGAGGAACATCAAGAAAATAACTTCCCTCTCCCCTCTTCCTGAAACCTTCACTGTATTTCTAAGAAAAGCTAGGGAGGAGGGTAGACTGGCATCATGGCACAGTGGATAAGGCTGTCATGTGCAATGCCAGCAGCCCACATCAGAGACTGGTTTCAATCCCGACTGCTCCACTTCTGATCCTATTTCCTGCTAATGTACATTCAACTGGGCTCCATTTTTTTTTCTCTCCAGTGTCTGGGCACTGATTGCCTCTGACCTGTGTGCTCACTGACGTCATGCTACAGGGACAGGAGAATATTTAAAAGCTTTTGTCAGGACAGTTTGTCTACCCGATCATCACCGAGAGTACAATGAGTTTATTTTTCAGGAAACACAGATGTGGAGTTGCCCGATCCATTCCCTCTCCTCTGCCTCTGCCTCTGCCCCTGTCTAGGTGGAGACAGAAGGAGGCACACGTGCACCTGCACACCCACAGCCCCATTGTCCTGAGCACTGGCCCTGCTCCATGGGAGGCACATCACACCGAGCACAGTGGGAGCACAGTTGGAACGTCATAGGTTTGTTTCTCATCTTCTTAGCCCACTAAATGAAAGATCTATGATATACAGGTCTTTGTTCGACTTGTTCAAATTGTTCCATGCATAAGAGATTATGATACTATTCCTTGTGTGCCATTATGTACCAACAATGAAGCTGCTATGGTGCAATTCGATGAGAATGTTCTATTTGATTTTGGATTAAATGAAGAATTATTGCAGCACAGATTGAAAACTGACACGATTGCACATGTGACCCCCATTTATTTTCTTAAATGTAATATTTCCCATTTTTCAAAATACTTATTTAGTTATTTACTTGAAAGACTGAGCATTGGTGAGAGGCAAAGTGAGAGAGACTAAGAGAGAGAGAAAGAGAAAGAGAGGGAGAATCCTCCATATGCTGGTAGTTTCCCGGATGACCCTGCCAGCTGAGGCAGGGTCAGGCCACAGTCCAGAGCACAGGACTCCATGTAGGACTCCCAGTGTGTGGCAGGATCCAAGCACAGTCATTTTTATAAATCATAGCCATCGCCATGTTTTCAATTCATGGCTCTTTTATGTCACACCAAGGCCATTAAGGAATACAAGACAGGGGAAGCCTCCCTGCACCTCAGTGACGTCCACCAGAACCACACTGAGGAGCTGCTCAGCTTCTCCAGGTTCTGGGCTGTGCAAGCCCTGCAGCCCCTGTCACAGGTGGAGCAGCAGCAGCAAAGCCGGGCTGAGCCGTGAGGAGAGCGTGGACCTCTACCCACACTGGTCCTCTCTCTGCTGAGACCCCAGAGAGACATTCTCTGTAGGAGACCTGTGCAACCTGGGTCTGCTGTGGACACCTGGTGGCACTGCACCTGTGTGCAGGTGCTGAGGGGTTGGATAGAATTCTATCTGACTGCATCTCAGCAGGCAGGGAGGGTTACCCAAAGTTGAATGATGAGCAAGTGAGGTTGCTAATTCTAGGATGTTACCACACACTCTCCAGAAAAATGGACTTTCTCCTACAGATGCCAACATAACCATGAATACATTACACCATCTTGGCCTCCAGTTCACTTAAAGTGTTGACAAATGTCCCTCAGGGACTTTTGGGTTTGACATTTGCTAGTAGAAACACGTGCACTGCAGGTAAACTTGTGCAGCCCTGGTCTGAGCTGGGGCAGTGGAGACACAGCCCCTGGGCTGAGTTCTGAGCTGCCCTGGGCCCTTCAGCTGGGCACAGCCCTGCCCCGCCCCTGCTCATTTGCATGTCCCCAGAGCACCGCCCACCTCTCTGGGCATTTAGGAGCAGGCTGCTCCCGCCCCATGCAGGAGGCAGTGCCAGGCAGGACCCAGCATGGACACGAGGGCCCCCACTCAGCTGCTGGGGCTCCTGCTGCTCTGGCTCCCAGGTAAGGAAGGCCAGCAGCAGGAACGGCCTCGGGCAGTGTGACCAGGGCTGCCCGTCTCTGCAGGAGCGTCCTCTTAGAACGTGAGGATGAGTGTGGTCTCTGTGTTTCTGTTTCCCTCCTCAGGTGCCAGGTGTGCATTCGAGATGACCCAGACTCCATCCTCCGTGTCTGAACCTGTGGGAGGCACAGTCACCATCAAGTGCCAGGCCAGTCAGAGCATTTACAGCTACTTATCCTGGTATCAGCAGAAACCAGGGCAGCCTCCCAAGCTCCTGATCTATGAAGCATCCAAACTGGCCTCTGGGGTCCCATCGCGGTTCAGCGGCAGTGGATCTGGGACAGAGTTCACTCTCACCATCAGCGACCTGGAGTGTGCCGATGCTGCCACTTACTACTGTCAAGGCATATTAGTTAGTACCACAGTGTTCCAAGACCTAACAAAATCCCCCCAGGAAAGCAGAAGTGTGAGGCTGGGCTGCCCCCGCTGCTTGTCCTGGGCCCCATCTGCTGAGAGTGATTCTCAGAGCAGCCATGCTTGAAGGTCCTGCAGGGTCGGGTGGAAGGGGCCAGGCTGACTCCTCTGAGGCTCCCTCTTGCAGCTGTAGTACTGACACGACCATGACCCTACTTGCTTTAGAGAAAAGCAATTACTCTTTACAAGTATTTAGGCTGGAGCATCAGTTGGGATTCTCTGCGCAAAAGAGAAAACAAGATATTGCAAGTAAAAAAAAAAATTATTTGATGGATAGAGTTAGACATTGAGAGAGAGAGAGAGAGAGAGAAAGGTCTTCCTTCCACTGGTTCACCTCCCAAATGGCTTGGAACACTATGGTATCACCATTACTATAACTATAAGTCTGCTGACAGTAGTAAGTGGCAGCATCGTCACACTGCACGCCACTGATGGTGAGAGTGAACTCTGTCCCAGATCCACTGCCGCTGAACCGCGATGGGACCCCAGATGCCAGAGTGGATGCATAATAGATCAGGAGCTTGGGACGCTGCCCTGGTTTCTGCTGATACCAGGCTAAGCTACTACCAATGCTCTGACTGGCCTGGCACTTGATGGTGACTGTGCCTCCCACAGCTGCAGACACGGAGGATGGAGTCTGGGTCATCACGACGTCGGCACATCTGGCACCTGAGGAGGGAAACAGAAACACAGAGACCACACTCATCCTCACGTTCTAAGAGGACGCTCCTGCAGAGACGGGCAGCCCTGGCCACACTGCCCGAAGCCGTTCCTGCTGCTGGCCTTCCTTACCTGGGAGCCAGAGCAGCAGGAGCCCCAGCAGCTGAGTGGGGGCCCTCGTGTCCATGCTGGGTCCTGCCTGGCACTGCCTCCTGCATGGGGTGGGAGCAGCCTGCTCCTAAATGCCCAGAGAGGTGGGCGGTGCTCTGGGGACATGCAAATGAGCAGGGGCGGGGCAGGGCTGTGCCCAGCTGAAGGGCCCAGGGCAGCTCAGAACTCAGCCCAGGGGCTGTGTCTCCACTGCCCCAGCTCAGACCAGGGCTGCACACGTTTACCTGCTGTGCACATGTTTCTACCAGGAGACGCAACATCCTAAAGTCACTGAGGGACAATTGCAAAAACGTTTGGTGAACTGAACGACCTGCTGGTGTAATGTATTCATGGTTATGTTGCGATTCTTCAGGAGAAAGTCCATTTTCTAGGGAATACTTAGTTACACCTTAAAACTGAGGTCATTGTCATTTCTTGCTTTTCCTCTGATGCCCTCACATTGTCCCCTCATGGCAGACCACTGCACCAGGGAGATGGTCTCTGAGAGATGAGACTTCTGCCCACACTCACCTCTGTACTGACTCAGAGTAAACATCCTCAGAACAAGCGACTGCCAAAGAGAGACCAGGACTCAGAAGGAGAAGGCAGGTGCTTAGATGAGAGATCACACATGTGGGCTCTCCCACCTGCAACCAGAGTTCTGAGTCAAGGATGCAGGAGGAAGCCAGAAGTGCGAGCTTCAAGGAGTCACCAGAGGTCTGAGAAGCACTTCCTCCCTCCCCTGTCCAGAAATGTCCACACTTTCTTAAGAAATCCAGAGAAGGGGGCGGAGCTTTGGCACAGAGTGTTAATGCACTTGCCTGATGCGCTGGCTTCCCATATAGGCACTGTTTCTAGTCCCGCCTGCTCCTCTTCTGATCCAGCACTCCTCTATGGCTGGGGATAGCAGTAGAAGATGGCCCAAGACCTTGGGCATTACACCCATTGGGAGATCCGGAAAAGCTCCTGGCTCCTGGCTTCAGATCAGCACAGCTCTGAGGATTGCAGCCACTTGGAGAGTGAACCAGAGGATGGGAGACCTCTCTCTTTCTCTGCCTCTCACTGTAAATTTGTCTTTAGAAAGAAAGAAAGAAAGAAAGAAAGAAAGAAAGAAAGAAAGAGAGAGAGAGAGAGAGAGAGAGAGAGAGAGAAAGAAAGAAAGAAAGAAAGAAAGAAAGAAAGAAAGAAAGAAAGAAAGAAAGAAAGAAAGAAAGAAAGAAATCCGGAGAGGAGGGAAGGCTGGCATCATGGCACAGTGGGTAAGGCTGCCACTTGCAATGCCAGCAGCCTATACCAGAGACTGGTTTGAATCCCCACTGCTCCACTTCTGATCCCATTTCCTGCTAATGCACACCCTGGGAGGCAGCAGGAAATGCCCTAAGTTCGTGGATTCCTGCCCCACAGGGGAGACCAGGGGTAGTTCTGGCTCTGGGGTCTGCTTGGCCAAGTCCTCACTGTTACAGCCATTTGTGGAGAGACCACTTACAGACACCCCCGCATCATTGCCTCTCTCCAATGCTCAGACTTGCAAGTGAATAAATAAATATTTTGAAAAATGTAAAATGTTAACTTTTACGGAAATTATCTAAATTATATTTATTAGAAATAAGTATTCACCACAGTACAAAACAACCTGCTAAAACTGGGCTCTTTTTTTAAGATTTATTTCATTTATTTGAAAGAGTTACAGAGAAAGGTAGAGACAGAGAGAGGTCTTCCATCTGCTGGTTCACTCCCTAAATGGCCGCAACAGCGGTGCTGCGTGGATCCGAAACCAAGAGCCAGGAGATTTTCTGGGTCTCACACTTGGTGCAGGGGCCCAGAGACTTGGGCCATCTTCTATTGCTATCCTAGGCCATAGCAGAACGGCATCAAAAGAGGAGCAGCTGAGACTTGAACCGGCACCCTATGGGATGCCAGAGCTTCAGGCCATGGCTTTAACCTGCTGTGCCGCAGTGCCGTGGGCTCCATTATTTTCACATCCAGTGTCTGGGCACTGATTCTTCCACTGACCTCTGTGTTGGCTGGTTTCATGCCTCACCAATTTGAGAAATTTAAGAAGCTTTTTCCTCAATCGAAGAACTATTTGGCCATCTGACCATTACTGAGACTACAATTAGTGTAATCTTTTCAGGAGACACAGTGTGAAACTGCCCAGTTCATTCCCTCTGCCCCTACCTCTGCTTCTGCCTGAGACAGGAGGATGCACTAGGTGCACCAGGACACCCACTGTCCATGTGCCCCCAGCAATGGCAGTGTCCAGGGAGGATCTCACTTGAAGCATAGTGGAAGAAGGTATAAAACATATGTTTGCTTGTTTGCCCTGATCACTGAAAAAAGATCTATGGGTTAAAGAGCTCTGTTGGATTTATTGTCCTTTTTTCTAAATCTAGAAAAGATTGTGATACTGTCAGTTTTGTAACATGGTGTACAAACAATGAAGCCACTATTGTTTCATTTCCATGAGAATTGTCTAGCTGATTTTGCATTGAACGAAAAACTGCCCTATCAGGGATTGAAAGCTGATGCCATTCCATCATGGAACCACCAGGGGCGCCAGTGCACCTCAGGTCTGCTAGTGACAGAGGGCTTGGGAGGACTGAGGCTCTCAGCCTTGTCTAGACTCTGCAGGAACAGTGGTTTTTCTGCTCACTCCTCGTTGAATTCTTTGTTTAGTGGAAGGCTGAGCTAGTGTTTTTAAAGTACATCGAAAGTATGTCGCAAAACTTAATTCAAAAAATTTAAAAAAAAAGAGCAGTAGGGTGGGAGTGAGGAAGGAAGGAGAGCATGGTGCAAAGTATCATGAATTCTCAAAATGTGTATATGACAGGCAGCACTGTGGTGTAGTGGATAAAGCCACCCCTGCACTGCCAGCATCCCATATGTGCACCCGTTGGGGTCCTGGCTTCTCCACTTCCAATCCAGCTCCATACTAACAGCCTGGGAAATCAGCTGAAGATGTCCCAAGTCCTTGGGGCCCTGCACCCTTGTGGGAGACCAGGAAGAAGCTCCTGGATCCAGGCTTTGGATGGGGCAGATCCCCCAGTCGCAACCATCGGGGAGTGAACCAGCAGATGGAAGACCTCTCTCATGCTCTCTCTAACTCTGCCTCTCTGTGACTCTTAACTTTCAAATAAATAAATGAATCTTTTTAAATAAAATGGACAAATAATGGATACTTTGCCTCTGTTAAAGTAAGTAAACTCATGTAACTTGATTAATAAATCCATGGAAGAGCTAACAGTTCTATATGCATTTCCATGTCTCACTGGGGCTTACTCTAGACTTAGAGGTAAGTGCAGGAAGCGTTAGGAACACCCGCAGGCTGCTTCTCTGGAGCTGTCACCTAGAGAAGAGCTCAAGTGTGGTGACCCCAGTCAGAGTCTGGAGCTGCCTCCACATTCAACATCTCAGGAGTCTTCAAGGACTTATAATTTTTTTTTTCTGTCTGTGACTTGTTTTTAAAGATGGGTTTAGCTGTCAAATAAAAAAAGAGGTCATATGCAATACACAAATACAAAGAAACAGCCTACATTATGCAAATCTAACAGAGTCTATGTGGTGAGAACTCCATACAGTATGATTGAAGGAGGTTTTCTCTGCATTTCTGTGCCTAAAATGTGCTTGGAAGAGGCCTCTGGAAACATGTGTGCTATTAGACTAAATGAAATAATTGAGCTAAAAAAATGGTCTGTGGTGAGTTGAATTCAAATAAGACTTCACAACTGGGTAACTTAAATGGGAAGACAAAGTTACAGCAAGCATATTTTCTCCTTTTCCATCCTTATGTAACGCTGGTTTTTTTGGTGTTTATACCTTTTAAAAAGGGGATAAATGGAATCCCATGCTGGGGAGCTTCCAGAACACCACAGCCCTGCTGCCTCCAGGGTTACCTCCAGGGAGACCTGAGCTCCTGACCACACAACATACCTGGAGATGTCTGAGCCGAAGAGAATGGAATAATTCATTACAGCAACAATGCACCAAGCAAACACCAAGGAAGATAACGCCTTTCACCTCCTCCCTGGTCCTGCTCTGACATCCCAAAGTGTTCACTTTGCTCCCATTGGG